AATGTAATGGCATAATATACCCAAACTCTGCAACAGAAACAGAAATTATAATATATCAGAGATTTACCAATTTTAAATTGAAGAGAAATGAGGGTATACACAATTCTAATTCATTCAGAACATTACAGCTTATTAAACATGACATACCCATACAATACTTAAAATAATTCCTTAATTTGTAAAGTTTCTCTGTTCATATATATGTATACACACACATTAAAATATATATCCAGTCATATCAAAACTGGAGTGAGGCCAGTCTTGGGGACTATCATACCCTCTACGTATATACATGTGTATGTGTGTGCATGTATATAAAAGATTTTCTACATTTACTAAATTGGGAATTCCTATAGCTCTGAAGCTTGGAACAGTGGCTTGGGGTCATGGGGAAGGGATCGTCACTAGAGAATGAGATGAACCACATGGGCCATCTATCAATCAAAGTGACATAATGGAGCCCCAATAAAAACTTTTTAATACCAAGGCTCAGAGGAACTCTTGAGTGTGTTATCGCAGATCCATGGCAGGAGAGTGACACATCCTGACTGCTCAGGGAGAAGACAAGGGAATACTACATCTGGAACCTCTTCTGGACTATGCCCTATGCACTTCTTCTCTTGGCTGAGGTTAATCTGTACCCTTCTCTGTAATAAATCATATCTATAAGCACAAAAGCATTCAGTGAGTCCTGTGAGTCCTTCCAGTAAGTTATCGAATCTGAGGGTGATGTACGAAAACCCTCAAACTTGCAATTGTGAGAAGTGAGGCCAGTACTAGGGACCATCAGAGACAAGAGCAGTCTTCGGGACTGTGCCTCATAGCAACTAAAATACATTGCTCCTGCAACTGTCTCTTACCTTTCTCTCTCCAGCATCTCAATTTTCCCTCTAATGGACCATACCTACCAACACACAAACAAGATTTAGTATTTTCCTGCTTGACCTTACATATCCCTCCAGCTATTAATGCATTTTTCCTGTATCAAAAAATGACTGTGAAGAATTATCTCTACTTACTGCTACTACTTTTTCTCTTCCAATTTTCTCATGAACACACCAGTTGAGATTTTGCCCTCATCCCTCCATAAAACTGCCCACCTTGGCCGTAAAATCCAAAAGTTAGTTTATAATCTGGACATTTTTCCTTCCTTACCTTTATTCCTATCTCTTCTAACACCAAAGTTTTGCTACCCTGACCTTTCCTTTAACTAAGTATTAGCTCTTATTTTTGCGTAATATGCCCCAAAAGAAAAAGAGCTCCATTGTAATGTACTCATGTTAACCAAATTCAAGTTGGCTTGTTTAGGACTTGTCAGACCCTCTCTTAATATGCTAATAAGCATGCTGAAATCTTCCAAACATGTTACCAATAACTATAAATATCTATCTATTTAGCAAATGTTGGACCAATGTTCTTAATACATTTAAGGAATACATTTTGTAAAGTTAAATTTTTATGTCCCAAAACTAACAAAATATTTCCCATCTGTGAAATTCATATAAGTTGAACATCTTTAATCCCTAAAGAACTTCAAATTAATAATAAACAGATAAACCACAAAATACAGAATGTAATTCATAAAAAGCATACAAATGGCAAATAAACATAAAAAGCTCTGCAAAATCTGAATAATCAAAGGAACAAAAAAAAAATTAAGATGATTTTTCCTAACTATTTAGCAAAAATTAAGAAGATTAAGTAACATTGGGTATGGGTATTTCTGTAGAAATGTGACCTCAAGTATCTTTAATTGAAATTTTCTCTAAAATATTTTAAGTAATTACATATTTTAGCCTAACAATTCTATCTATAGAGTTTATCTTGCACAGTACTCAAAGATGCATGTACAACGATGTCTGTTACACAAGCATCTGTAATAGTAAAGGATTCAAAGCAGCTATCAAAAGTGGATGTAGTTTTGCTAAACATATTCTGGATATACACATACAGAAATGTTGCTATTTTAGAAATTAAGTATATTTATACATACTGATAGCAAAGAGGCACAACAAACAAACAAACAAAAAACGAAATGAGGAGAGTACATTTAACCTTCTAATACTTCAGAGATAAATATATGGAAATACAGGGCTATTCAAAAAAAAGATCTTTAGGGTTGGAGATCTGGCTAAAGTGTAAAATGCCTGCCTAGCAAGCATGAGGGCCTGAGTTCAAATTCCAGTACTGCCTACTGCCCACCCCACCCCAATCACTACCTCAAAAGAAAATTTTGACATTTTAAACTCAGTATCTTAATGTGAGAAGTTATAAATAAAAGGCAAAATGTTTCCTTTTGCAGTTTTAGTATTTCTCAAGCTTTTCTTTAAGAATGACTTTAAAATGTAGTCTCCTCTAACTTCATCTATGTATATAGATTACACAAACAAAAAATTAATGTAAAATATGTAGTTTATTTTGGTAAAAACTACCAACTACCAAACAAAATGTTTTATAATGAAATGGATAAAACTTCATGAATAAAACTTTCATTATGCTGAACAACTTTTTGATCTAATAGGTTCAATATAACTAAAAACCTTTTTTGTGTGGTATTGGATGGAACCCAGGGCCTCATACATGCGAGACAAGCACCTGACCACAGAATTACATCCGTTGCCCTAATTTAAATACTTTCATAAGAAATTCATTTGACTAGGAAAGTGGACATTGCCAGAACAACTATAGTTTTGTCTTTTGTATTTAGAATTACAATTTTCTTTGGTGTCTTTTGACTCTGAGACATTAACATTTAAATAAAAAATTTTAATTTGTTCTGAAGAAATTTTTATTATTTATTTTTGGTGGTCCTGGGGTTTAAACTCAGAGCACTGAGTTTGCTAGACAAGTACTCTACTACTTGAGCTATACCCCCAGCCCTCTAAAACAACAAAACTTCCTCAATGATTTTATCGTATTTCCTCTTTTGGAAAGTGTTTTTTTTTTTTTAACTAGATGTGATGGTACAGGCCTGCAATCCCAGCACTCAGGAGGCTGAGGCAGAAAGAGCACAAGTTTGAGGCCTGCCAGGGATACAGGGTGAGACTCTATCTCAAAACTATTTAAAAAAAAAAAAAAGTGTCTTCTTTTTCTTCAAATTACGTACCTACAGAGTCATATTTCATATAATATATATTTTCTATTAAGAAACTCATAAAGCATAAGAAGAAAACAGTAGTAAGTACTATAGTGAAAGGAGTAAATGATACTTTCATATAAAATATGGCATTAAAAAAAGTTGGTCCCTAAGTTTAGAGCAAAAAACTGCCTGGGAACCCCTTGGTTCCTTTCTGCAAAGCAGTATAACTATCTTCCACATGCATAATGCTGCACACATGTTTCCCTGAAATCTTATGAGGTATCAAGCCACCAACATCCACTTCTGTGCATACCCTACCTTTTCTTAACTATAGGTTTCTAAGAAGTGCTATCTTATTGTATTTGCTGTGTGAATCACCATCAGTTTTCTTGCTTTCTCAGAAACAACTGAGCTCCCTTCTGATCTAGCACTGATGGATCTTACTATTGTTTTGAACCTTTAGTGACCCAGTTTAAAAATGAGGATTGGGCACATGTGGCTCAGGCATGTAATCCTAGCTACTTCGGAGGCTGAGATAAAGAGGCTCACAGTTCGAGGCCAGCCCAAACTAGTTTGTAAGACCCCATCTCCAAAATAACCAGAGCAAAATGGACAGGAAGTGTGGTTTAAGTGGTAGAGCACCTGCTTTGCAAGCATAAAGTCCTGAGTTTAAACTCCAGTTCCACCAGAAAAAAAAAAAAACAAGGAAATAGTGTATCAAGGGCACTAAGTAATTCTGGGGGGGAAAAATGAAGCAAGCACCATTTTGTGAAGTTAAAGTGACTGACAATTTATTCTACTACCTCTCTAATGCTTTTACTATATATGTCAAAATTATAAAACATCTATGTTAATAATTTTAAATTACATGTAGTATTTCATCATAAATAATTTTCAACAAAACAACTTCTGTATCTGAGTACATTTTATAATCAAAATCTAGGAAATTTTATTACAAATATATTTCATTCTATCTTATACTCTTAAACTCACTACATTTTATAAGTGAAATAGCTATAAGCTGGCAATATGCCAAATATTTTAACAGGCAATTAGCAAAACAGAGTACCACTTACTGGTTTTTAGTTATTACTCACAGGATATTTAAAAGAAAAACATGATAACAATTTCATTCTCTGAGACTAGTAATAAGCTAACAGACTCACAGTACTCTTAAGAAGCTATGAGTACAGCAGCACCTCCACTGAACATCTAAAATAGCAAATCATTTGAGAATTACCTTCCAGTGCTAAAACACAGCATCCTTAAACACTCTTCAAGTCCATATAAATGAATATAGCCTTCATAAGGAACATGAGCTTAGAGAAGATGATTAAGAGAGTGTACTTATAAAGGTAAAATTATATTTTCACAATTATCTAGCTAGAAACAAAATGCTTATTTGTTGATGAGCTTAAAAGAAATTCAGCCCCAAATAAATTGTCCAAATGACAAATAAAAAACAAGCTTGAAAAGCCAAAATGAGAGCAGGTATGGTGGTACACTCTTGTAATTCCAGCACATGGGAGGCTGAGGCACAAGGATTAAGTTCCAAGCTGGCCTGGGATACTGAGTGAGACTCTGTCTCAAAATAAAATAAAATAAATAAAAAGCCAAATTGAGCAATTTAATTTCTAAATTACAGATTTAAACTAACTTCAATCTTAATACTGCCTTTTTATGAGCATGATTATGACTGCTGTTCACTTCAAACTTTTTATTAATCGGCTAACAATTTGATATAATCCTTCTACTTTTAAAGGCTAAGATTCAAGCATGGTGATACACACCTGTAATCCTAGCACTCAGGAAGCCAAAGCAGGAGGATGGAGAGTTTGAGGCCAGCCTTGGCTATATAAAGTCCTGTCTCAACACCTTCCCCCTCCCCCACTCTAGCAAACAATGACGTAGAGCTAGTTACCTTGGTTTGGTTGCATGTTCATATTTGGTCTGGGGCCATAGTTTCCCATTGGTTGACCTTGACTCATTGTCATCTGATTCTGTACTGGCATGCTCTGTGATGATGGCACAGAATGGTTGTAACCTCCCATGGATCCATGGCTACTTGAAGGCATATTCATGGAACTGTTTGTCATATTGAGTTGATTGGGTCCAGGTCCCTGCATAGGCATATGGTTAGGCCCTTTAAAGAAAAATGATCAGAATCAAAATATGAAAGTTAAAGCTGGATTATACAAAAGTACCTAAAGAAGTTTTTTAAAATTATTGCAGTAATAACAAACAACAATGAGTAATCAATAGCAAATAAACAGTTTACATGAGTAACAGAAAATACGGGAAGGTAGATGTTGCTATTGTTCCCATTTTAGAGATTAAGAAAAACTGATGGTTTTTTAAAAAGCCAGAAATATTCTGGAAAAAAAAAGCAATGGGAGAACTAGCTTTGTAAGACAGCCAAAACATAAAACTGAAGTACTCAAATGTGTGTAGTACTAGTGAGCATAAACAAATAGACTAACAGATCAATAGACCAGAATAGCCTAAAAATAGTCAAATATATAATTCAGCAAATAGTAACAGTGGTGACATGAAGTATCAGTTTGCAACAGAAAACTAATTCAGTAAATAGTATTGTGACAACTGGGTAGCCATCTGGGAAAACTAGATTGGTCTCATTCCTTCCATGAAAACTAATTCTTTATGCCTAAAAAATTTAAACAATAAAAAAAGGGAAAAAACAAAAAATACAGTTTTTAAAAGGAGAATGTAAAAAAACAGTCTTGGACGGGAAGGGCCTCCAAGTATGCTAGAAAGCCCAGTGCCATTAAAAAAAAAAAATTGATAGAACAAAATATTTAACAAGACCAAAAAAACCCCCAAATAATCAAAAGACGAAAAATTACTTACAAGATTAAACACAGATGAAACTAATTACTTGGCATGTAAAGTAAACCACCACCACCAATTAAAGAATGGGCAAAGGACATGAATGACATTTCACACAGAAACTACAAACAAGTTCATAAACAAGAAAAAACTGATCGCTTCACTTACAAGAAAAAGCAAATTAAAACTCAATGACACAATGTTCATCTTTCAGATTCTCAAAATTTATGTGTTTTTTGTTTTCATAGTACTGAGGCTTAAACTCGGGGCCTCACAACTCTTGAGCTGTGTCCCTGGTCCTTTTTAGCTTTCAGATGGGATCTCAAATTTCTGCCCAGGACTGACCACAGTTCTCCTACCTATGCCTTCCCTATAGTTAGGATTATAGATAACTATCACTACACCTGGCTTGTTGATTGAGATGGAACTCACTAACTTCTGGCGGGGTTAGCCTAAAACCACAATCCTCTCAATCTCTACCTCCCCAGTAACTGGGATTACAGGTGCTTCTGAGCTACCATGCCTGGCTCTCAAAAGTTTTAATCCAACAATACTATGAAGTAGTAACAAGCACTTTCATATGTTGTTTAAGGAATGTAAGTATTATTTTTATATAGAGCAATTTGGTGAAAATTTTAAATGTATATACTTTTAGCACAGCAATTTCAGTTCCAGGAATTTATCCTGTAGATAAATAATTTTGGGGATGCACGTATGTATGGATGCAAAAATTACTTTTATGATTATGTACATATATTTTTATAGCATATTCATGGAACCACAACTTAAAATATCAAAATATTAGAAATAATCTTTATGTCTATCACAAAGGAACTGTTCAAATAAATGATTACATCCATAAAAAAGAATGTGATACTGTCACCCGAAAAAAATGAGGCAGCTCTTTATACAAGACAAATGTTTGGGAGAAAGAAAAAAACCCATGAAACTTTCAAATATGGGCTATCATTTGTGTTTTCTTAAAAAGATTTTTTTTTTTTTTTTAAAGAAATAGAAGGATAATCCATACTTCTCTGGAACTAGGTGTTTTGAAGAGGAAAAGGACTATTCACATTTTAGTACCTTTTGATTTTAGTTCCATAGGCTAGTTTTTATAAAAATCAATTATTTTTGATAAAGGAATTGTGATTAAGAGGTTATTTGACCAAGAACAAACAGCATAAGTAGCTTTTCAACTTAAGATTATAAAATAAAATACTAAAACTAAAATAGAAAATTAAGAGCCTAGAAGAAATTTTTGTGTACAAAATGGTTGGTTAGATGCTATGAGGAAAAAAATCAGGAAAATAAGTTACTGACCTTCCAATTTTTCTTAAACCTATTTTTGTACAACTATTGTTAGATGAGCTCCCTAACTGTTGTTTAGAAGCTGAACAGTGTTTTGGACAACCTAGGTCATAAACGGATGATAATCTCTGGCTTATAAAAACAATATCACAATTACAAATGGCTTTACACAAAAACCAAAATGTCAGGTTAAAAATAATTGTATCTCAAATGCTTCCTTAGTCTCTTAGGCTTCAATACTATGTGGAGAGTTAAGTCAAAATCCTAATCAGAAGTACTACCATAAAATGTCACAGAATTCCTAACTAGCTAACCTGCTTTAGCACTGTTCTTCCAGTTCTAAAAATAATGTGTCCTAATGAGCTAGATGTGGATTAAACAAGAAGCCTCCTCTTGACTACGATTCTAACTACCAGCTAAAAAGTTAGCCATTATTCCTAACTCCATACTGTACTGGGGCCATCAATGCTGGGAGCCCTCACAGGAAATAGGAGATATCCACTGAACCACATTTACTCCTGCATGATCAATCACATATCAACCTTCTAAACCAGACCACCTTGTGCACTCTCCTTTGTTTCTCTTCCTACAGCTGCCGCCATCCTTGGACACCAATGCTACCAACAACACAATGAGCTGAAGAAGACACTATCCTAAAGATGCTAATTACTAATAAATTGTTCTGCTATTCTAACTTACTTCCATTATTGTTAATTATAGAATGGTTTTTAATTTTTTGGTAATGAAAATAATCTTTGTCTTCGAAGTAAAAATATTCTCATATTAAAGGTATAATGACAGAGGCTGAATCTACTATACTTTGTAAGCACATGTGTATATGTCACAATGTATCCCTCCTGTACAACTATTATATGTTAATAAAAAAATTTAATGAAAAGAAAAAAAAAGTAGCGAATATTCTGCCAAAACTGATGGCTATGAATTGTTGCTGTTATTAAACAGTGGGCTGGAGATATAACCCAGAGGTAAAGTGCTTGGCTAGCATGTGGAAGACCCTGGGTTTGATCCCCAGCAAAACAAAAAAATTTTAAAAGAAAAATAAAGTTTAAAGATACTTTTCAGCAAAATAAGCAATCAATGGCCTAAAAGTTCAAATGAATAAACAGAAAAGGGAATGGCTCAACATATAAGAAAAATTACATTATTTTCCAGCTTTAAGTTTTGCTTCAAAGACAATTTCCATTATTTATGTTATGGTATAAATATGTATTCATAAAAACCTAGATTCAGCTTTAATACCAATGAGGAAATACTAAATACACTAGCACTTCAGAGACTATTTTGTTTCTTTCTTCATGTGTTTTTTCTGCTGTTACTCTGAGATCAATAAATTTTTAAGTAAATAAAAACTCAGGGAACTTTTTATAAACAGATTTAAATTCTTAAGCCATGGCACAATGCCTTTTTCCCCAAAAAAGCTTCTAAAGTCAACTGTATTGCATAGTTTCAGACAGACTAAATTTAGCCAGTTCTGTTCATCAGAGGAATGCTGTGTGTCAGCTACATCAAAGCCCAAGGGCAGCCTGATAAACACTGAATACAGGTCACGTAGCTCTATAGCTAACAAACTCTAAGAGAGCTTGTACTCCGGGGCATTCAAAGCAGTTTTGTCATCAACAATCTAGTATCCCTTGAGCCCCCATGTCGTTTCAGTTGCTAAGCAACTCTGGTGTTAATGTCTTAGAGGAGAAAAACTTACCAGGCATCTGGCCGTTCATCTGGTTCTGCATGTGTGGTGCAGGAGGACCCCCACCTACCATTCCATCTGAAGGCATGTTGTGAGGGCGTGGAGGTGGGGGAGGGCCGCTCTGATTCATCCCTCCAGGACCCATAGGCATATTCTGTGTGGGTGGCTGAAAGAAGACAGTTTAGTAAAACAAGAGAAACAGTTAGACTAATGTATTAAAGATACATATGGGGAATAATAGTTGCCTATACTATAAATTGGAAAGGAACAAAACAACAAATGCATATCAATTTTTTCTAATGCATTTTAATGATGGACTTATTGACATACTTAATACCCCATAATTGTATAAGTTGGCTAATGTAAATATAGTATCTGAGCACCTTTGAACAAAAGTAGACCACAATTAAATTGTATTTTAATTTATAAAATCTCAATACTAAACATGAAATTTTTAACATTCTACAAAATTTTCATTTACTTTCTTAGGATTAATAATGTGCCTACTATTGTTTAAAAAACTAGGTCTCATTTCAACATTGGGCACATTAATGATGGATTTTGCCTGCAAAAGGTACAATTAACAAAAAATTATAAAGGACTCAAGGTCCCAAAATATGATATATTTTACACCGTTTGAGTGTGGGAGGAAGTGGTGGCAGTGGAGGAATGTTTTAAAAGACAAAGACAACACTTGAGCTCAACATTTTTGTGCTGACTACTGCTATAGATTAGAAACATTACTGATGGCCTCCAAGGGTACAGAGACAGCTGCCTCTAAAGGATGCCTTTGGCAAATTTCCTAATGAAATTTTGAAGAAAACCACTGACTAACCTTGAGAGTTCACAAAAGGGCAACCATACAAGATGGTCGACACCTGCTCTCTTCTTGGGGATATTTTGGTAGAGAAAGCAAATGGTTAGTTTCTTTCAAACCCCACTTCTAAGCCTGCAGGAGGACAGGAAGACATTATTCTTTACAAATCTACTTCTGTCTTTTTTCTCTGCTTTTCCATGACCTGAACATATCTAGTCTAATAACTTCCTCCTACCTATGATGACCAGATACTTACTACACACATTTTCAGATTTTGTGAACACTCAAACCTTACTTAAACATTGACTAAAGCACTAACAGTTACAGAAATAATGAAAGCTACTCTAAAAATCACAATTTTAATTCCTTCACTACTAAATCTAAATAACTGCTCTTTTATTTTGATTCAGTTTTCACACAAAAAAATATGAAACATTAATCTTACTTTTAATTATCATTTACATATCATCCTTCAAACCTGGTTAACTTTTTTGTAATTCAACTCATTTATAAAACATTAGTTGGTATTACTATCATTATAGAGTAATGCATATCAAATTAACCCTCTGCTATTAAAAGTCACAAAATCATGACAAAATACAAAAAACTGTCTGAAGGCACTAACAAACAGCTTAAAGAGAGCAGGAAGGGCCATACCTCTTGAGAGAAAGGAGGAATATAAGACCAGCTTCACAATTACCTTGGATTTTTCCTTGACTTTGGTATGTACAGGGTTAAGAGAACCCAAGTAGAAAGCAGCAGTCCTTTGACTGAGGAGAAAAGATTCAGAGTTTTTCACTAACAGAAAACTGAAAACTAAAGAAAGTCCCAGAGAGGAAGAAATGCAAAGAGGGAGAAAATTTAAGAAAACTACTGGAAAACAGCAGTTAGGAGGTTGATGAGTCAAGTAGAGATTCCAGCTACTGTCCACTGCTAGGGAAACAAGGACTAATGTATAACTCCACCAAGTTAGTGGTACCATCATAAACAATTCAAGCTTTTGGTTGCGACTTCAAAAGAGCTTCTACTTCGACTAAGGTCAAAGCTGAAACAGATTAGCCCTAACAAGTTTTATAATTAATCTTCAATAGACTCAAGGTAATTTCTAGTACTTTGCAAACCAAAGAAAAACAACTCTCTTTGTAGTAAAATATGAATGTGAGCTTCTGTAATTGTTCATCCACAATGTCTGATATTCTGTTAAAAATTACAAGTCATTATAAAAAACAATAGCCAACACCTAGCAGGATGTCTATAATAACATCAGAATAAAAATGACAGAAAGCAGAGCTAGAGGCACCAAAAAAGAAAGAAAGAAAGAAAGAAAACAAAAACTACAGAAAATATCACGTGTTAGCAAAAATGTAGAGAAACAGAACTCTCATATATACTGGTGGGAATGGAAAAAGGTACAGTAGTTTATGGTGACAAAGTTGCCATGAAATCTAGCAATTACATTCCTGTAAAATTGAAAACATACATCCATGCAAAACTTGTACATAAATATTCACAACGACATTATTCATAATAACCCAACAATGGAAAAAACCCTAATGTCCACCAACTGTAAATGGATGAACAAAATAAGGTAGATGACTACAATGAAGTAATATCCAACCACAAAAAACAATGAAATACAAATATTTGCTACAATATGGACAAACTTGAAAATGTGCCAATGAAAGAAGCTGGATACAAAAGGGGTCACATTGTATGATTCCATTTACATGAGTGCCTGCTACATGTAAAGACACAGAAACAGAAAGTAGATTAGCTGTTGCTAGGGTAAGAGCAGAAGGGAGAATTGGGACTGATGGAAATGTTCTGAAATTAAATAGTGGTGATGTTTGTACAACCAGGAATATACTAAAAAAAAAATAACAAGTTATATACTTTAAAATGGTGAAGTTACATCTCAATCTACAAAAGAAAAAAGGAAGGACAACCAACAAAATAACTTTAAAAAACACAAGTCATTTAGATTTGGGGGTTGCCAAAGACTTTAAAATAATTGACTTTGGAATTTTTAAGGGGGAGGGAGGTGAAGAGGGAAGATGGAGAACTTCAGCGAAGTTAGGATTTTATAAGGGAGTCATGTAAATTACAGCACTAGAAAATACAATCACTGAAATTAAGGAATCAAAAGATCAAAAGTTATAAACAGCAAAAGAGAAATTTTCAGAAACAAAAATACAGAGGTATGAAATAGAGAAAATACAAACAAGAGTATAAAGACCTGGTGGAAAAGTATCACACTCATCTTTGGAATAAATGGATAGCAGTATCTGGAGAATACTAGTTAAAGAGTTTTCCAAAGCTAATGAATGATACTGAGCCTCTACCATTTGAACTACGAAGTTCTACAAACCCCAGCAGACTACAATCACAGAGTCAAAGTATTAAAAACCAAAGTCAAAAAGAAAATCTTAAAGCCAGCCTAGGAAAATCAGAAATACTACATTAAGGGAAGCAGAAAGGTGTATAACACAATTTCATCAGAAATAATGGAAATAGAAAAAAAAAGAAAAAAATCCAATCAACCTAGAAGTCTATATTGAAAAAAAATCCTTCAAAAAAAAATCCTTCAATATAAAAATGAATTGAAAATATTTTCAGATTAACAAAAAGCTAAGAGAATTTGTTAAAAGGGAGTCTTCAGAAAATTTTTCTTCAGAAAAATACATAAAACTGCATAGCTAGAGAAGTTAGTAAAGAGGAATGAAAAAGTAAACACTAAAGTAAATATAAATTAATACTGATGTTTAAAATAAGAATTGAGACTGATGGAGTGGCTCAAGTGGTAGAGAGCCTGCTTGCTAAGCATGATGCCCTGAGTTCAAATCCCAGTGCCACCAAAAGAATAAGCAAAAATATTTTTTAAATAAATAAATAATCAGGCACTGGTTGCTCATGCCCTGTAATCCTAGCTACTTAACAGGCAGAGATCAGGAGGATGGCAGTTCGAAGCCAGCCTGAGCAAATAGTTTGTGAGACCCTATCTCAATAAAACCCTTCACAAAAAAGAGCTGGTTGAGTGCCTCAACGTGTAGGCCCTGAATTCAAACCCTGGTACCACATATAATAAATAAATAACAACAGACAGCCAGGCATGGTGGTGCATGTCTATAATCCCAGTTACTCAGGAGGTGGAGTTAGGAGGATTGAGGTATTAAGCCAGCCTGTGCAAGGTTAGCACAAGACCTAGGTGAAAAACAAACTAAAAGCAAAAGTATGGGGTATGGCTCAAGTGATAGAGCTCTTATCTAGCAATTACAAGTACCTGGGTTCAATCCTCCAGAACTACAAAACTAAATAAATTAACAATAAAATAGCCATTAACAGTGACTTGCAGAGTTTAACTATATGTAGAAATATAAAATATAAGACAAGTCTAACACAAAAGACAATAGGTAATAAAGTTAAACTGTAAAGTTCTTACATATTTAGCAAGCATCACAAAGTACAAATTTACTCTGGAATCTAATAAACCAAAGATGAATATTGTAATCTCTAGGGTTACCAAACAAAAATACACACCACCTACATTACAAATACATAGCTAAAAGACTAATAGAGGGAAAAAAAATGTTTAACTCAAAGAAAGGTAAGAGAGTTATAAGTAGAAAACAAATATCCAGTTCATAAGACTTAACTCCTACTATATCATGTTTTACAATAAATGTAAAAGGACTCTTCATCCCAACTAAATAACAAAGACTATCAGATTGAACTTAAAAAAAAACTAAAACACCAACTATATTCTGTTTACAAGAGAATCAACTTAATTCAAGGGTACAGAGAGTTTAAAAGAAAAAAAAATAGAGTGGGGCATAGTAGTGCATGTCTGAATTCCAGCATTCAGAAAATATCTAGTAAGTTGGAGACAGACCCTATCTTAAAAAAAAAAAACAGAAAAAAGAAAAAAAACAGAGAAGGCAGGGCAAGATGGTGGATTAAAAGCACCATTTTGACTTCATGAATGAGACAAGTCAGATAACACAGGATAGACTATATTCTGAAGAGAAAGAGGAAGAGCATTGAAAATCAAAAAAGATGGGAGAAAACCATAGACAAACCAAAGCAAAAGAAAAGCAGGAAACAATGGGCACAGTGGCTCACACCTGCAGTCAAACCTATCAGAGAGGCAGAAAACAGCCAGTCTGGGCAAAAAAGTTGGTAAGACACATCTCAACCAATAAAAGCTGGATATGGGGGGTGGGGGGGCATGCCTGTCATCGCAGTTACACAGAGAACATAAATAGGAAGATTGTAGTCCAGGCTGGCCTGGGCATAAATGCAAGACCTATATAAAAATAATTAAAGAAAAAGGACTGGAGGTGTGGCTCAAG